CGGCATTCCACCAACAGATGGCAAAACTGGCTTTTTGCGCGCATTATTCCCTCCTACGCATTCGACCTAAAAAACAAAGAAAAAAGTAAAAATACGTAATTTAATTCGAATATTGTCACGCGTAATTTTCATTTAATAAATGCAAATATTATAGAAGCGAATAGAGCCTCAAATCATCGTGAAAATGTATTAATACATTAAAAAATGGGCATAGTTTAGCAGTCTGGGAAATAGTTACCGCTCGCCACGAGATGTCGCGCAGCTCGTTGTCAACAACAGAATTCGAGACACTTTCTGTCGGCGCATTATTTTGACACTTGACGTCGCTCTCGCGTGGCAGGTACGTATACAGATAGCGGTCAGTACATGCAACGAGGATTCGTAGGATCAAACATCAATTAATTCATCGGAAGGATTATCGGAGAAGAGATATCTGGGTTGGCTAGCGAGTGCAGTAAAGTTCGCCGGCTTCTGTCAGTTATTCTTCAAAATTTCCGTAGCATTGTACATGTGTTTATATTTTTTTCGCAAGTGCGCGCACTTAGCAGTGCTGGTCTTTAAAGTGAGCCGAGAAATTAAAAACAGAATAAAAGTAAGGGAACAGTGTGATGGAAGTGTCGGTACACCGACGCAAAAATTTAATGTCGCAATTTACGCCGGAAATTTCATCGCTTCTTGATACTTCTCATCTTAAGAGTGATCCCGCCGTTGTAAACTAACATTGAACGGACCCATTGAAATTCTCATCGCCGTTCGCACTTAAGGTAAGTGACGCATGTCTTTGCAGTTTTTCAAAAGCATAACGGCCATATGAGACGAAAAAAAAATATACCGCGCATGGTGAAATGAAAATATAATGCTATAGGGGGAGGCACGCCGCTCGTTTTACCAGCTCCTCTTGATTTAGCAACATTGGTGAGACCGTCAGTGAACCCCGTCACAATACATCGTCAACGCTAGCAATTATTCCCTAATGATTATACGTAGACGCTTTTCCCAGCATTTTTTACTTTCAAAAGCCCACAATTTTCTTCCTTATTTTATAACCACTTAATTTGTAGTATTTCCGTTAAAACGTTTATCGATGGTCTGTCAGATTTTGAAAGATGAGATGCCGCGCGAGCTAATAATAACTCGGCAACTGAAATGTATTTCTGGAGGGCAACGGTATTCCTTAACCTGTTGCAAAAATATACAAAGTCTCACTAATAATGGATAAGCTAAATTTAAAATACAGATATCATTTAAGACAATATAATGGAATTTTCTCTCGCAGATGTTACATATATGTCATAGGATCGTACTAGTACCGTGTGTGTAAGCCACCGTTGTTGGAACTTTTACGATACGACTGATGAAACATACAAGATAAACGAAATGTTTAACAATAAAATGTGAAAAATATTAATTCCACCTCAAAACATTGCAGTTGTAATCATTACGGTATATCGAAAAAAAATTAAATTTGTAATACATCGTCATGCCATTACAACGTTCCACGTGTAATTAATTCTTTTTAATGATATGCACAAAACATTAAAGCATTAACGGAAATATGAAAATCGAAAGCAATTCATTATAAATACTACTATGGTTTTATTTTTTATTTATTATTTTGTTCTCCTTAATCGCATATAAAGTTACTCATCTAGATATTTTATTCATTAATTTTATAAAATAAGAACCGTAGACCTAACGTAAGCAATAATATATTCTTAATATCAATTGATAAATTCAAAGCTGAAAATTGCAAACGTGTAAATGGACCTTCAAGGATTTACAAAGTTGTCAAATAAATTAGTAAAATTATTAAATTGAAATCAATATGTTATAATCAAATTATTTAATATTAAAATTACAATATCAAAATTTTCACGAGACCAAATGTTATCCTAGATATTTGCTACAATTGGAGTATACAAACAATTCCGAAATAAACATATTTTTCAATTTTTTGCATTTTATGTGAATTGACACTTTTGCAATAAAAAATTGTTTATCGTTAAAATTAAATTTGGTATATTTAAGCTAAAATATGTGTGATTATAAGCTCTTTCCTCAAAATAATTTTAATTCTTAAATTAAATATCATTATACTATATAGTATGTAAAGTGGAATTTTAAATGAAAAAGTGTTAATGAGTTCTTTGTTTAATAAGATTTAACTAATAATTATTCAATGAGCTTCGGTACTTTTCATCGAAAATCTATAAAAACATATTGTTGTCACAGTTGTAATTGTAAAAAGTCATATTGTCACAGTTGTAAAAAATCTTCCTAAAAAATATGTCCCTGTAATACGCAACATATTAAAAATATAATAAAATATATTGATTAATAACCTTGTAACGTACAAGATTACAGCGTAATTAGTTAAATAATTTTAAAAAACAATTTGATTTTACAAAGTTATAAATATAATAATTTTATCATAAATATGTTACTAAGCATCTACTGATTTTATAATACAAAGACAAATATTTAAAAATAAATTTTCTTTTTAAATTATAATTGCTTTGAAAATAATTTTGTTTAATAATGTAATTTATTATCTTATACAAAATATAAGTACAATGTGTGTTGGGTGGGGTGGGGTGGGGTTGGGGGGGGGATTGTTTTATGTACAGTATTTAAATATACTAATACATTAATATTTCGTGTAGAATACTAAATATGTATCCATATTTGAAGTTTTATTCATACTGGAAGGATTTTGTGAGATGTCATATTCTAAAAGTCGTTATGTTGAGTAAATTTTATATTGTATGTCAATGTCGTCAAATTTAATATATTTTACGAAGATGAATGCTATTATTATTGTAGAATAACATTATATCTATATAATGATTCTTGTTGAAAATTTTTCACGTATTCACGTAAGCCATTATGATACAAAATATGCAATTAATTTCGTTCCAACCGATTTTTGAAGTCAATGTTTCACATAAAAAATAGAATATTATAATTTTACATCAACAAGCAATTAGCTTCTGTATATATAATAAAGGTAATTAATGTTTGTATAAAGGCAATATGTAACATTTGAATGGCATAAAAATATCGATTATTCGATTAATTTGCCTTATAATCAATAATCGCTAATACGACGTACATACGCACGTACGCGCGTTGACATATAACACTTACGGTTGTTCGTTTCAACTAAAGTAAGATTATTCCGCAAATTCATGCAAATAGCTTGACTGGTGTAATTATATCGTGTATTATCGATGAAAAATGAAAACATATCGGAAGAAATTTGGTATGGCCGTAGCAGTCAGTCAACGTTCAAATATGTCTATAGATAATATGACTATCCAGTCTGGAGCACTTGCAACGTCTCATGCATTATTCATGACAACTTGCACATAAAAAAAAGAATCATTGAAAATTTGGAAAGTTATTTACACAGGACGACGAGGAGGAGAGCGAGCTTTCCATGAGGACTGGAAAATGACGGACAAATGACGCGGAGGTGTTTCGCGTCCGTCTTCGTCAACCGGCGTATCTCGGAATTGACCGTCAGCCGGATTCGCGCCTTTCTCGCATCGCAGCCACCGACGAGCAAACATTTCCTCCCCCCCCCCAACCCGAACCCCACGCCTTCGTTTGTCTCTTCCCCCGCGATCATAAAGTGGTGAACGCCTGGCTGATGCGCGCGCACCCTATCCCTATA